TTTCAACAATATGATTGACTAGTTACACTAAGTAAGGCTTTGCTACCAAATGAGTTATGAAAAAACTATTTGGTCTTTTATAGTCTTGGATTTTGGAATGAAAGATGAGATTATGGACATGCAGCATTAACTCAGGGGTTGTGAAGAGTAAACGTAATACATTTAAAGCATATAACTGTGTGCATAAAGCATTCAGGTTAACAGGACTGTATAGCTTTGCAAGTGTCTGCAGTAAACAAATGTAGTCTCTGTATATGAATATAATTCAACATTTCATGATTATGTCAATAATTTAGGTGTTCTTTTAATGATTTGATATCTGCCAATATAAGGAGATGCTGCCAGCCATATGCAAGCTATAGATTTTCCTACTGGGTAAGAACACTTTTTTGGTCCATCTCTTATAATTGTCTTCAAATCCACATCCATTTTATAAGTAAGGATACTCTATTCTCCTATTTACAGATTTAATACTTTGGAATAGAAAATACACAAAATATTTTCCAATAGTTTTGCCCTCACTTACAGAAATATAAGAATCATATGCTATCTCAGAAGAAAATGGTAATATTTTTCTCCATTTACTGCCATCTTCCTCCTTTTGAATTGAATATATACAGAGAAGTGAAAGTTAAAATGTACAATTGATCTCACCTAATAAATACACTCTTCAAACTAAAAGATAAAAGGGAATTTGGGAAAGCCAGTCCTCACAACTGTAACTGATGAATTAAGTAGTGGTTGCCCTACAGATGAGCATCACACAGGCTGGTATCAGCTGTGGCAAGACTAAAGCAGCCATTGGTGTAGGTAGCACTATAGCATCTGTCTTGAGATCTAGCAGCAGAAATATTAAGATATGATGTGATGTGAGTAGTGGGTCACTTACTTAAACTTGTGCTTTTAACAAAACAATTTAAAAATCAACAAATTCAGTAGACATATAATGGAAGAGAATATAATGCATGAATCCAGGTTCATTAAACTAATGTCTTTGTTTTTTGAAAAACAAAATATGACAGAACATTTCATTATTGATGTAGATATGAGAAAAAGTGTTATGCTGCTATTTAGAATGTGTCTTGTATGTCATGGAATTGAAGTATTTCCAAATCATCAATAATTAAAATGATGAGAATCCATCATTTCACTGACACTTCTATGTGAAAAGATAGCCTATTTTAAATGTGCTCACACATATCCTTGTCAATCACAAGCTGTCACAGCAAATTATTTCATTTTGTAGATCACATGGCAGTTAGTAGAAAATCTCTAGGCTTAAATTTAGTATTAGGTGTAGTATCAAGAACTCCTTTCACACATATTTTTCTGTGACTACATATTCACAATACAGGGTATAAAAGATTTAAAATTTTATTCATAATATCAAGTTTCACTTCTGGTTAACAAAACTCAGGACTGAAATGAATCACTGTAAATGATAATTCTGAAAGCCCAGTAATAGAATAGGACATATTGGAGAGAGTGGAAATATAAAACTAAAAAATTCTAAAGACAATCAGAGATCCATATGATAGAACTTGGACCTAATGAATTAGGTCTAAACAGTGTTTTCTCTCATCTTATTTAAGATATTAAGGCAATCACAGGACCCAAACCATTTATTATGCTATGTTTGCATTATTACAGCTCCTAGCAGTTATAAAGGAGCTGAATTCTTATAAACCCCATGGATCTGATCCAAGAATTTTCACTGTGTCATAATTAAGCAGAAGATTCAGGAAACTGTGACTAAAACCTAAACCACATGGTCATGAATGAGAACACTTAATATGTCTTTTCAAACAATTCATTGACTTCATATTCATAATTTCAATGAATTATTAACAAATGTTAGAAACTTTAAATGCCAGAAGTATAATACCTAGTAAGGCATCATTATCAATAGTATTTATAAGAAATATTTATATTTTCCTGATCTTTTCCATATACAATTAATGTTTCTGATTAGGTATTCAACTTTAAAATGTAAGAATTATTCTAATACTGCATTTCAACAAGGAATGCTTCATGTCAGGCTTGACCTTGGCCTGACCTCCATATGAAAGCTTTGTGTTTCAAGGTATGTGATGAATAGCTCTCTGGCTTTCTATTAGATTCAATGCCACTGGTTGTCAACAGTGATGCTCAAAAGGCGTAGTAAAATAGTTAAAATATCAGAGATGTTCTGTAGGATTTTTTCTCTCTTAGTAAATCTGGAAATAGTTCCTAGGCAATTTTCTCTAGCTACATTGCTTTTCCAATGAAAAGGTAAAACCAATGAAGTATCGAAAGGTAATTGCCAAAATATATACTGACTTGTTTAGTCTTCCAGTACCAGAAATAAAATAAGATCCATTTGATTTATGTTGTAAAATACTGTTCTCAGTTTGAAGGATTTATAACTTATCTACTGAGTTTAAGTTCCTTAAAGGCCAGGACTTCTATCCCTATCCTGGGGCACACATAGTAGGTACTAAATAGCTGTGTATTGATTTAAATTTGGATTGAATTGCATTAAATTGAATTTAAATCGGAGATGAAGAAATATGATAAAAAAAGAAATCAGACTATGAGCCCCTGCTTTTCTCTTTCTCTGACCTGGCCTAGTATCTCACACATATAGACTCTCAATAAATGTTTGTTGAATGAATAAAAACTTGCAAATTAAAATAATGACCAGTTACCAATTATATACAGAATATTCATGCTCATTTAGAAAGATGTATCAGTAACACTCAATTCTGCCAACGGATTTTCCTATTTATCTTTATCATGTTCAATTTTCCAACTTCTGATCATGTCTCTTTAAGTTTATCTACCACTTTCAAAGTTATTCATACATGTTTTTATTTTAATGGTACACTTGTGGCTAGTTGGAAAGCTATCGATTTATCTATAAAACAGATGACAGAAAGGTAGTCGTCAAGCTGATTTGGGTGGTTTGAAAAAGTGTATGTAAGTATGTGAGTGATATGTAATATATCACGTTAAGTTAAATATTACCTTTCATATATAAATGTATGTATATTTACATTGATATTCTTAACATTGTGAAAGAAACCAAATATAGTTGTTTAAGCTTATCTATAAGCTTAACTCAAATGAATGGCTTTTCCCCATTATACTTATCCTAACTCTTTTTAATGGACATGTGATATGCTAGTCTGTGTCCAAGCTCACCTACAATTTCTTTTCTCAAAAGACAAGGCACATCTGCCACCTGCTCTACTCCGTGTCCCAGCAACAACTGTCGAGCAGCATAAAGATTGATTATCAGTCAAAAACCATTGCACAACACCAGATTTTGGTGGGTTAAGCTTGCTGATCCAGCAAGAGATGGTGTGAAATTTTCAGGAGTGTGTGCCAACATTTTGGTGCTAAAAGAACAGCAGTGCATGTCACAGTGAAACACAGCCAAAGATATGCAGACAAAGCAGAGAAGTTTTTTGTTCTGGACTTGGCTTTTGAAAAGGATAAAAAAGAAAACAAAAAGTAGGAGGAAATTAGTTAGTACATTTAAAAATCATCCACCAAGCTCAGTCATGTGTGTGACATTATTATTTTAGGCATACATGTCCAGGAGATTTTCTTCTTAGCTTAGCTATAAATAATTTTTATATATCTCTTCTACAATACCATTATGAAAGGCAAGCATTTCTTAGTAATAACAATAATCAAAGATCTTAATGAAGCAATATTTACATATATATCTGAATATTTTTAAAGTCACAGAATAGTATTTGCCAACTAAGACTCATGTTTTTATATAAGCAAATGATTCCATGAATATAAAATTAAGGCAGCCAGCCGTATTTTAAACTTAAAGCAAAATGTGAAAAATATACAAGTCTACACGATCACATAGGTAATTTTCAATGAGCATTATAGCAACAAGTTTCTTTACAAGAACCAAATTATCTTATATTTTCTATTGAATTCAAGAAATTGCTCATTTCCTGAAGATCAAATATCATTAAAAAGATAGAAATCCTAGTACGATTTTATACAATAACATTAACAGAAGAAATATTTTCATCACCTCATCTGTAATGAACTCCAGAATTACTTTTCTTCTACTTATGCAATTACTGCCTAGACTTGCCTTTGATTCACTAGCTTTAGAGAAGTTGCAGAAAAAAATTACTTCTATTAAAGTATAAAAAGCATAGGAAAGTACAGCAGTTAGACATACAGAATTTTTATGGCAAAGTCCTTATTCCTCATGTTATTTAAATCCGATTACCATACATAGCACTTGATGTCAAACTCTGGCCACAACATGCTTGGGAGAATATTCTTAGAGAGTAGTGCTTTTATTTCACTCTTAAAATGTATTCCTTTCCACTGAAGAAAGAAAAATGCTATTTTTTTTTTTTAATTTTAGAAAATATCCACATTTCTGAAATGTTGGAAGCAATGAACTTTTTGGAAAACCTTAACTGAAAATGTGTGTAGGATTATATTTTAAGGTAAAAAATAAATAAGCTGGAATATTTATTATGCTAAATGTTACTAGGAGAATCATATGTATGTAAGAAATATATGTTCATTATTGGCCACATTTTCATAATTATGTTGATACCATCTGAAAAAAGATCAAAAGTGTAAATGAATAAATGATACTTGAAACTTTGAACTATTTTCTGAGAAAATAAGTCTAATGAATTATGTCTGTTGAGTGTCACAGAAATTAAACAGTAAATTCAATAATCTCTGATTTAATTTATTATATTTTCACCATTTAACCTCCTGCAGGCTCCCTAATGTCTATTCAGATCTATATTAAATTAAGCACCAATGCTAATGAAGGGCAATAAATGTGGCTGTCAGTGGATTTTTCTTTCATTAAGCACATTATCCTCTTACTGAGCTGTAAATGCGTAAACATTAGTTTTGTTAAACCATGCAAAAAAGACAGGATGAAAATCATTTTTTAATTGCGCCCCTTAAGCAATTTACTATGTATTGGGGTAGGGTCTTTTTAAAATCTTTTTTACCTTTAATTTTTTTGAATGGATCTAAAAAGGGCTCTCCCGTTGAAACATAAACATCGGCTTCATGGGGTATGTCTTCAGGTTTGAGGGCTTCCTTGCCGTCTGCCAAGAACACTCGTCTTGCAGCCATGTTCAGATCCAGCTTTTCTGTGCACTCTTTCAGCAGCTAGAAGAAAGGAAGAAGTAAGACAAAGTGATTTATGACAAAGAAAGTAATACATTTCCTTCAAAACAAAACGTTCTAATGATCAGAACAGAAACCCAACTGAGTCACTTGCCAAGTTTAGTCACTTGACCAATATAGTTATTTTCTAGCAGTTGAAAATATAGAAATAAAAGGTAAGTCACAGCATGAAGCATATCTAATTATTGACTAATTTTAATCTTTAAATGATCTGTCATTTTAATAATGCTACAAGATATAATGCCATTGTATTTGTTTAATTAAATACACTATATATTAAATTTGTTTAAAAAAAGGAGTAAAATGCCTATGGAATCTACATATATATAAGCAATCTGCAGATTCAGATTCTTAAAAAGCAAATATTAACAATAAGTTTATCATTTTTTATATTTTAAAGAGAGGAGGGAAAAAATATAGCACAGAAAACTTTGGAACAGTAGTTACCAAGGTGATTGTTGGCACAGTAACTTTGGCAAAGGCTGTTCTAGATCCATTTTTGTAAGCTGTTACTTTAATCACTCTTGGTTGAAGTTTGTGTCTTTGAGACAATCTCTGCCAATTCCTGGCTGACCAAAATTTTAAAGAAGAGAATTCTGCAACCCTGAAGAAAAAGAAAAACAAAGAAATTGACGCATGTAAAACTTTTAAATAAATTTTATCCTGGATTTTTTTAAACAGATATAAGCATTAAAGATTGTTCCTATGTATATAAGTATTCCCAACAAAACTTTTTATAGGATAAGATTGTTGTTAGAGAGTAACACTGTCACTATTTAAATATTCAAAAAAATTTAAAACGGTGTTTGCCAAAACTGCTTGTATAAAACATATATATCAGAATAAACAATTTTTTATCATTTTACTTATAAACCACAACACTCCTTTAAAAATATATATATATATAAAATATATAACTAAAAATTAAATATATGTTATGTTCTGATAGCAAAAAATAGTAATATAGTCTTAACATCATGAAACAGCAAATGGCTAAGATTCTACTCAAGTTTTCTTGTTGATCAAAGTTATTTAATATTTTGAAAAATGATTTGAAATTCAAAAAGATTTGATTTTAAAATTTTATTCAATTTTATACAATTAAAAGGTTAATTGTATTGCTCTCATTTCAAATTGTTTGGAAGTAGTAAAAGTGAAGATTTCTAAGTTTCATAGTTGGACAAAACTAATTTTGATCTTTATGATTTTTCTCAGCAAAAGTATGTGGTAAACTGACTAACACATCAAATTTTCTTCATAATTCTCTAACTAACCAAGTTAATTCATAATGACACAGAAGCAAAGTAAACATTTTAAAATAAAAATGTCACATAAATTAAAAACATAACATATCCACATATTAAAACACCTGAAAATAGTGAGATATTAGTTTCTTGGCTTTATTTTTGTTTTTGCCAATGTTTTCTTCTGTCTATGAACTCTTTTGTTAACAGTTTATGATAACAATCTTGATGTGAAAACATATTTACAAAACAGATTTATAATAATTTCGTTTTACTCTATTCTGTTTCAAACTATTGGTTAAATATCAAAAGAAAGCATTTTTATCTTTAAATAAGTATCGTGTAAGCAAAGAGATTTCATGATCCTAGCCTGATTCGGCTTCAAATATTCTTTTCAGCGTTTCTGATTACTCAGGTTGAAGTGTATCTCATATTTCCCATAGTGTAATTAACAACATTCTACTCCGGTGCTTTCAAAGAAAAAAACAAAAACAAAACAAAACCCTAGAGCTGTGTTATATTTTAATGTCTGAGATAGTCAATTGAAATATTATAAATTCTATTCAAAGGAAAGAACTTCAACAGTAGGTTAAAAAGAACAGAGAATAGCTTTGATTACCTCAATTGACCCACTGGAGCAGTGACAGGTCTGTTTCTCTTGGATGCTGATATAAAACAAGAATTGTTTTTACTGTTTGATTTGTAGCTATGTAGTTCTGATATTTCATCATGGCTGTGATCTGATGCTGTTTGATGTGCAGAGCAATCTTCAAGTCCTGACCCTTCTGATACTGCTGCTGAATGCACAAGTCTGTTGGGGCCAAACTGAGGCTGCAAATAATCATCAGTAGTTTTAATAACTACTTTTTCTTGGGATGACATAAACTCTCTGGAAGAAACAATGCATGGAAGAATACAATTAATTGATTTGTAATCATTTATTAACAAATACCACATAATAACAAATTGTATGCTATGTGCTACACAAAATACTACACACTTAGGCATTATTTTGTTTAATGCCTACAATATTCCTGGAAGTGTGTATTATTTTTATTCCCATTTTACAGATTTAAGAAATTGAGGCTCAGTGAGTTAATTAATTTGCCCAATGTCACATAATCAATAACTGTCAGGGTGGGAATTTGAACCCAAGCCTATCCTAAAACAAAACCCACATTCATAACCATTAAGCTTCATTGCTTTACTTAATTCAACCAAAAGGAAGCTTGCATAATGTTTAAAACAATTTAAGTAAAATTTTTTAATTCTTAGGTCCACTTTATTTCCTAATAATTAACACTCTGCTGTTAAAAAGATGTGGGTCCTATTCTAAAGAAACTTGCAAACAATCTCTCAATAGAGAATATATGTTAAATAAACTGAAACTGAGTAGGTATTAACTTTAAGATGAAAAGAATTCTTAAAGGCCATTTTAGAATGGGTGGGAATAAAGTTGGTAAAGGCTTCACAGCATCCCAGAGATTAGCATCACTAACTCATCTTGGTTTCTTCAGGACTGTCCTGGTCATTCATGGTCACACATTCCAGGAATTCCCTCAGTCTCAGGCAAGCTAGGACAGTTGGTCACCCTACTGGTATTTAGCCTGGAAGAGTAGTATTTGGATGAACTATGATATGTGAACGGGGGACCACATGACCTGGAATAATATATTAATCTATGTAGACACCAAGTTAGGAAGATGAATAGGTATAGAATGTACTGATATGATAAAAATAATATATGTTTCAACATATTTGCAAATATTGAGCTGTGTGATGACCAGGCATAGAGGATAGTCAGGTTCCATGTATTACTGTAATTGGAAGTATCTTTGCACAAAGCAAATCTCCTTCTTTCCAATTTGCTCATTCCTCAATAGTTATTGCATAATATAACCCCCCCCAACACACCCCCAATTGTAAATTAACATATGCTCAGTGTCAAAAGCTCAGCAGAGACAGCCTCTCCTCCAAATCTTTCACATCCACAAATGTCATTATAATCACAAGTATTTCTTCTGGCCTACTCTCTTTATGCTCACAAAAGAGTAAAATGGTCAATTATTTCCTTTGAAAAAATGAATGGTAGTCACATGTCACAGGGAAAATAGGTGTGTGTGTGTGTGTATGTGTGTGTGTGTGTGTGTGTGTGTTGATGCAGCAGACCAAGGAGAACTATGCCGGAATTCAAACAGTTGTATTCTGCTGTTGTTGTTTTCACATGCTTCTATCCAAGTCTCCCCTAGACTGGGTACAGTACTGGGGAGAGGAGTGGCCTTCCCTATACTCATAAGTTCCAACCAGGTTCAAAACTGTGGCAAACAGAGCCTTGAAAGGGTCTTTGAACTCTAGCTCTGGGAAAGGTGGGACATCCCTTCAGGCCACCTAAGTTACTCAGATTTTGGTAACAGTGGTGAGTGATGGCTTATGGTAGCAGTTATTTCAAACTGGCAGTGTTTCTGCAGTAACAGTAATGGAGCTTCACATGGTCATCAAGCTCTTCAACCTGAGGGAAGAAGAGTAAACAGCCAAGGGAAAGAATCACAGCTCTCATATAGTTCCCAGTTCCCAATAAAGTTACTTGAAGAGAAGATTCCCATATTTTTTTAAATGGAATTCCTTACTTAAAAGCAGAATAATGTGTCATTTTTAATGAAGTATTTTGTTCATTGTGAAATTTTTTTTTTTTTTTTGAGACGGAGTTTCACTCATGTTACCCAGGCTGGAGTGCAATGGCGCGATCTCGGCTCACCGCAACCTCCGCCTCCTGGGTTCAGGCAATTCTGCCTCAGCCTCCTGAGTAGCTGGGATTACAGGCACGCACCACCATACCCAGCTAATGTTTTGTATTTTTAGTAGAGACGGGGTTTCACCATGTTGACCAGGATGGTCTCGATCTCTTGACCTCGTGATCCACCCACCTCGGCCTCCCAAAGTGCTGGGATTACAGGCTTGAGCCACCGCGCCCGGCCCATTGTGAAATATTCTTATAAATTTGCTAATGAGTTTAATATAATAATACATTATTCCACCACCACAAGGCAAAAGGTTTTTATTTTTTCATATTCTGAAGTTTTAATCATGTTATATCCTCAACCCTATTGCCTTCTGACTTCACTGTTTTATAACAGTATTTTATAATATTATTCATGTTGCTCTATGCTCTTTTAGGGATTTTGCTGGAATGTAATATTTTATCAACTATATTGATAGAGCCCTCTTCTACCTAGCTATGCATATGTTATGTATCATTTTTGTCACACACATCTTGCTGGTCTTCTGGTAACAGCACTTGCATTATTTCAGGAATGCAAATTCTTCCAAATTCCACATGATTCTGATCAGGTTAGGACAATAGATTATAGGAGATAGGAGATTTACCCAGTGAATGGTAGAAATAACTACATTTAAATATATGGCTCAACTATATATTTATTTATTATCTGGTTTTCTCTAGTAATTTATATTTAAAAGTGGGAGAAGGGTTAGTTTTTCATATTAAAGAGTTAATATTGCTGGGCACTGTGGCAATGCCTATAATCCCAGCACTTTGGGAGGCCAAGGCAGGCAGATCACCTGAGGTCAGGAGTTCGAGATCAGCTTTGTGAACATACAAAATATACAAAAATTAGCCCAGCATGGTGGCAGATGCCTGTAATCACAGATACTTTGGAGGCTGAGGCAGGAGAATCACTTGAACCTGGGAGGCGGAGGTTGCATTGAGCCCAGATCTCACCACTGCACACTCCAGCCTGCATAGCGGAGCAAGACTCCATGTCAAAAAAAAAAAAGTTAATATTATTCATCTACTATAAATAGTCTTCAGCTTTGATTTGTTTTACAACATTGATGACAGATTTTCAGTATTTTTTTTTTTTTTGAGACAGCGTCTCACTCTGTTACCCAGGCTAGAGTGCAGCGGCGCAATCTCAGCTCACTGCAACCTCTGCCTCCCAGGTTCAAGCGATTCTCCTGCCTCAGCCTCTCGAGTAGCTGGGACTACAGGCATGTACCACCACATCCAGCTAATTTTTTTGTATTTTTAGTAAGAGACAGAGTTTCACTATGCTAGCCATGATGGTCTCCACCTCTTGACCTCATGACCCGCCTGCCTCAGCCTCCCAAAGTGCTGGAATTACAGGCGTGAGCCACCGCACCCGGCCTCAGTAGTTCTTACAAACTCTCAAACTCACCTTTTTAATAACAATTGACATGTGTTTCATAGCTGTTAGGTGTTAGAGAGGATGATCACATACCCTTGCAAAGCCAACTTGTCCCACATGAGAATTAAACCCACATAGTCAGTTTACAAAATTGGTGCTGGAAATAAGGGTGTTAGGTTCATTTAGCTTTGAAGAAACAGAGAGGCACACTTAGGCTTCAAGTGATAAGGCTTATTATGAAGATACATAGAAAGTTAAAAAAGTAAATAAAACCACTTCTGCAGGGCACAAAGAGAGCTGGAAGGCCATTCATGGCTAAGGATACACTAGTGACTTAATTTGAGTAGACTCCATGGGTTTTGACTCAGCACCTCCTATCTCCTTCTGTGTTGACCTGCCTCTTCTTCATACATCATTATTGTCTGATTTACCTCTAACCTCCTCCTCTTCCTCATGCCTTCTGCTAACTTTCTCTATGTGTCTCCTCATTTCTATGCTAAATTGCTTCCTTCAGTCTCTGTCTACTATATGACTTACATTCAAATTCCTCAAAGAGTTTAATTTCATCACTACCCAGGATAGGACACCCCTGTTGGGTAGAATTCTTATGCCAGGCAATCTTATGCTACTGACAAGCCTGCATATGAGAAAGTACCTATCAGTGGCCCAGCTAGAGATAGGACAGCAGGATACACCCTGGAGGTACACAAGAGGTAGGGTAGTATGGGCTCTCAGTGCCTCCCAAACAAGGAAAACATAATTGGCAGGGGACTTGCATTGTCTGTCTGGTATACTAAGATGAGTAGAGACACTATATATTGATTGATTTTAAAAGTATTCACTAAAATACATAATATAATTTAAATTTCTGCCAGAAGTGTTTCAATGTAACAACTGCTGAAATAGTGCTCTGATTCTTGTGATTATTTTAACATTAGTCATTCATTTCTAATCACAGACAACTATAAGAATATAGTACCATGATTGCAGACCCAGTCTCTGGACCATCTGGCTCAATAGTCTATTGTCAATGTTGCCCCAAAGGGATGTGGGTCAAAAGGAAGGATCACATTCCTTGACAGTCCTAAAGACAGCAATCTTGAGGGTGAAGAATTTAACATAAACAACTGCCAGCATGATAACCTGATCATCATATTACAGGACTTTATTACATCCTCAAAATCCACCCCATTTATTTCTGAGAGTCCTCAAAGTGGTACATTATAAATTTCTAAAAGTATCTCCTACATCCCTATAAAAATATGTTGGTATATTTAGATGACCCCATCATCTTAGCCCAAAACCTCCTTAAACTGAAAAGCAATTTCAGCAAAGTCTCAGGATACAAAATCAATGGGCAGAAATCACAAGCATTCCTATACACCAATAACAGACTTAAAAAGAGCCAAATCAAAAGTGAACTCCCATTCACAATTGCTACAAAGAGAATAAAATACCTAGGAACACAACTAACAAAGAATGTAAAGGACCTCTTCAAGGAGACCTACAAGCCACTGCTCAACGAAATAAGAGAAGACAAACAAACAGATGGAGAAACATTCCATTCTCATGGTTAGGAAGAATCAATATTGTGAAAATGGCCATATTGCCCAAAGTAATTTATAGATTCAATGCTATCCCCATTAAGCTACCAATGATCTTCTTTTTTTTTTTTTTTGAGACGGAGTTTCGCTCTTGTTATCCAGGCTGGAGTGCAATGGTG